TTGTCTGTTAGTCAGTTGAATGTAGTTGGGCCTTTGTCCAAATTTCTCAATATTGTTGGTTCTGAAATTTTAAAATGATCGAGGACCGTTGCTGGTTACTTGAGAAAAGCCCAGCATTCAATTTAGCAAAAGAACCACTAAAATAGATTTCAGAATAAAATACTTTTATTATTTAGATGAAAATGCATTTAGTGTGCATAGTGTAATTATTATATAATTTTGTATGTTTTATACGAGATCTAAATTTTATTATTTTCCAATTTTATTTGAAAACTTTGCGTGATACTAAGAAACTAAACGTAAATTTAAGATTATTTCCACTTAGTTTTGTTGACTTGCAAAACTAAAGTTAGAATTATTAGGTAGTAACACGCAAGTCTACGAATCTTTAAATAACAAGAACATTTAACATTTTTTATATATATTGCAATTAAATTGTGTGAAAAAAAATTAAAATGTAGAAGGTTAGAAATAGAAAACTTGGTTAACATAATATTATGTTATAGAAAAACACACAAATGTCAATTTAGATTTTCTATATATTTTGTATTGTGACGATGATTTATAAATTAAAAAATTTCTTGTTTTTATACATAAAAATAATTATTTGATGCATAAATAACTGTCTGCAGGTCTCTTATAGAATACTATTCTTAAGAAATTTTTCTGAAGTATATCTATCTTCTTTATATAAAAAAAGGAAATTAAGAATCGAATATCTTAATATAGATTCGATCAAAGAAAAATAAATAGTTCTTAAATGAACAAAGATCTATAATATTTTTAAAATGCCTAAATTTGTACAGTAATCTTCTCAGAACTTTGATTAAATTTTCAATCTAAGATAGCAAGGTATATATAGGATGTCCCAAAATTAGATGGTTATATTTTGACAGCGTATTCTACATCCTAAAATAGTAGTAAAAGTTAATATAAACATAGGTCCAAAAAAGTTTTGTTTCCAAGATACAGGGTGTTAAAAGTGAAGTCCTGATGACACATTTTTGTAAAAAACTAAGTGAAATTTGGTATAAATGCTAAATTTTTTACGCTCTATTTAATGGACTAAACGCTAGATTTTGATCATCTTCATAGGTGGGTAAATTAGGGGAGGGGCTTAGGGTAAATTATCCTAAGTTTTTTTGTTGACTATTTTTAACATTTTTGACTACAAAATTTTGAAAACCAATATTTTCTTAATAATAAAGCTACTATTGTTGTATCTCGAAAGTGTAAACAATAATTAGTAGGCCTGTGGAATCAGAAATTTCATTTTCTTTTTTAACTTTGAAAATAAATTTTAGAAAATATTTACAAAAATGTGCCATCAGGACTTCACGAAACGTTTTCGGACTTGTGTTTAGAAAATTCGGAGTACTAATTATGTTATAAATAAATAAATAGAAATATTTATTAAGAAGACATTAAAAGATTTTGAAAATATCAGGATTTTTTAGAATTAGCTTTTTAACTTCGGTTTTAAATTTAACTGTTTTTGATTTTTTTTATAACTATAGGAAGCAGGTTAAAAAGCTTAGGGCCATAGTAGAAAAAACTTCTTTGTATTACCGAATTATTAAACAGATTAATGTTTAAATTAGGTTAGTGGCAGCTCTAGTATTTGAAAGTTTTTTTGGGAACTGTTCTTTCTCAAAATACATTCTTAAGAGACATTGGTATGAATATATCTCTCAGATATTAAATAATTTTGTTTCTTGATAAAGTCTATTTTTAGAAGCGTATTTTGTGTGGTTTGTAAATTATGCAATATTGTGGTAAAAGTACCTCCCCAGCTAGTAATACAATACCCAAGCATAGATTCTATTAGGGAATTATACAACATAATTAAGTTTTTCTGCATAAGATATCTCTGATAATATAAAATTTGTGCATTAGCGCTCTTATTCGTTTGGTGAGATATGTTTTACGTGTTCATTCTATCTGATATGCTGGTCAAACATGATTCCTAAGTATTTGATCACTGTGGTTTTTTCTAATACAGAACACGAATATTTAAATTCATCACACGTAGGTTTATGTAGTTTGAGATTTAATATGGGCTGATCCGTTACTGTAGGAGAAAAAGTTATATATTTTGTTTTTCCTATATTTAAACTGAGTAAATTATGATTTAACCAAATTTTTATATTTTTTAAACATGTTTTTGTATTAGATTGAACTTCATTCCAAGTTTTCCCAGTAATGATAAGTGCTGTATCATCAGCATAGCAAACTAATTTTCCTTTGACATTTTTAATGTTAAAAATATTATTTACTTATATTAGAAATAAAACCGGACCTAATAGAGTCCCCTGGGGTACACCTATCTTAACCACTAATTCGGAACTCAATACATCCCCTATTTTAAGTGTTTGTCTTCTGTTTGATAATGTTTGAAGAGGTCTAATACTACTCCTCGAAAACCGTAATTATTCATTTTATCTATAAGTTTATTGCTTGTAAGAAATTTAGTAATGTTAGTTTCAAGGGATTTATTATTTTATTACTGATATTGGTCGGTAATTAGTTTTACTACTGCAGTTTTGAACTCTTGAGGGATAAGTAGTAAAAACTTAATTAAATAAATAAATTAGAGAAGAAGCGATAACTGATACAATAATTTTTTGGATTTAAAATTTCCTAATCATTTGTGTAATAGGTACGTTAAAAACATTTTACGATATTGAAAAAAAAATCCTATTTTTGATATTTAATTTTTCTCAAAAACCAGAAGATTGCCGACCGATATTTACATAATATTTTTGTATTAGTTTTAAAAGTTCTATTGAGGGTTAAACATTGCTACAAAAGACCGTGAAGAAAATTGTTAATGCATCACCTAGGTAGGTATATGTTTTTTCAATTTTCAAAAAAGAATTTTTTTTATAAGCTGGTCGCCCTAGACAAAAGTTTGGATCAAAAGCATTCTCTTAATTAAAGTTCAAACAATTTGACGATTCTTGAAAATAAAAAAAGTTAATAAAAATAGAAAACTTTATAAATTGCTTATACTTAATAAGAAATAAATATTCACCAAAATTTAAATTAAGTCCATAAAATAAAATAGAATAATTTTTTCCTTTTAGACTTACTCTTTCAACTGCTCACAAAAAGAAATCTCACACCAACAACACCATCCAAACAAAAACTTAATTTACCAAAACACTTAATGAGTTTAATAAATAAAACAAAGTTTTTCAGTTAACGACAACTTATTACGAACATTTATCTGGATGAAGCGACGAACTTTCTTCGCGGTCCGAAGTTCCCAAAAATTGTTTGAACTCGTCGAAATTTTTGGCGCGCAAAGCGCCTCCAGAAATTTTTATTCGTGCCGAGTATACGTTGCAGCGCGTTTGAATCGGAAGCGTCGCTAGGCGGCGTCGCGACGGTGAATATCCAACGGCGTCTTCACAGTGAAGGGGATGGACGTCGACTGATAGAAACGCTGGAGTTTCATTCAGAGGCAATTTGATCATGATCACTGGTAGGATGGTCGATTTGTTGGTTGGATTGGTTGGTTGGACAGCGATATCGCCAATTTTTTCTTACTCACTATTTTTTTTTATACAATTTCTAATAAATATTAATATGGACAAACTCTAATTTTGTATTAAAAATTTAATAAATTTTTGATAAAAGGGTATATACATGAATTTAACATCTATACTCATTTTGAGCTACTAGTTTCGGTTACTTCATCATCATCATCATGAACTTCGCAAATAAAGGGTTTTCTATTATAAAGTCTTATTTTAAATTTCGCAGTATTTTTAATTTGTAGGATAGTAAGTTTTTTCAATTTAACCATGGCCTTCAATAAAAGGTGTAGCTTGTACTGTGAACTCAAAGTGTGGTCCACGGAGCCCTGGGGCTACGCAAAGCCTTTGTGGAGGCTCCGCGAAGAAAATAATAGTCATAACAAAAAAAGCAGTACTATTGCTACAATAGTACGAGAGCTAGCAACGTTTCCGAGAAAGAATTTTAGGTCGTCTGGTCTTTTGATATTTCTTTTCTTATTGAAGCTTGGTGGGGATACGGTACATCTGGTTACTGTGAGTGGTTGCGTTTTCTTCTGCGCATCCTTTTTGTACAGGTACAAATTTCGTATTTTCAAATCATTTTAGGGCGATTTTTTTTTTCTTCATAATTTTCTATATCATTTCAGCAATATAAATGTAACGTGCCATACAGTTTCGATGTTGCTAACTCCGTGACAGATACCATTTTATTAATAAAAAAAAAAAATTCAAACCATTTTAGTATAGCTATAAAGAAAAAAGTTTAGATAACACGCCATTAGTTAAGAGTTCATCTGACTTAATAATTGATGGTAGAAGAGTTGTGTCGTGGTACTCTAAAAGATCGTCGTAAATCTGCTGTTTGAGAAAATCAAATTCTGTAGTTTTTGTTTTTAAGAATTGATCAAAATGCAATATTTGTAAGCCTAGAGCCATTAATCGATGCAGATGTTTGCAACGATTGAAATGTTTTCCTTTAATAATTCCGTTAATCTGATCCACTAGCTATGATTTTACTTTCAATCATCATATGAGATAATCCACACTCATTAATATACTTACCAATTGATTTAAAAAAAGCTATCATTAAGTATAATGCACCCAGATGTATAAAAAGATTATTAAATCGAGGCTGCTCTACTGCTTGTATTTTTAATGCAATTTTAGATATTGCCAAGTCATAAATGACTTGTACATACATTTGCTTGCATTCTTTACCTATTGCTTGTGCATGTTCCATTGTATTTACCACAACAGCTGTATTAGTAGGTGATAGATTAATAGGTATTAAATATGAAACTCTTTGTTTTAAGCTATTATCAGGTAGTAGCTTACAATTAAAACCTGTCCACATTGGAGTGTTTGGTATATGAAAAAAATGTGATACCAAGTGAAGAAGATGAATTGATTGCATTAATGTAAAGTTTTCTGGTAAATTAGATTGATCTTCCTCAACCAGTTTTAAACGTCCAGACATCCTTAATCGTTTAGCATATGGAAGGATATCGGGAACAATAGCATCAAAGGTTCTTCTTCTTTTTTTGATGGTCCTGGTAGCGTTTCTTCAGAATTATTACTGGCATTATCTACATTCAATTCTTCTTGGACATTATCATCAATATTTTGATATATAATTCCAACAGTGTCGTGTAAAGTTTCTTTTCCATTTAGGGTATCGACGAATCTATCAAAATTATCGAATGCCACGCCTGTACATAATAATGGAGAACGGATAATGTCAGGGGGACTTTGTAATTTGTGAACAATCAACAGATGCTATATTTACTTCAGTTTCAAATTCTTCCAAGGTGTAATAGTTGCAGCAATGTCCAAATCTATTTAAAATATTAATACTTTTTCGACTATTTGTAAGACTTTTTATAGTCAAAGCAAGTGTTATGTGTTTAGACGGTTTAACAGTTCCATTATTGACACAAAAAATAGCGTCTGAGGCCATTGAATTAGTCAATCTGTCACAATTGACACCATCTCTTCGACGAATATCTTTACCTCCAATCAAGACTTTATAAAACCTCTCCAATTTCTCTGGAATGGAACACTCACCATTAATTAAATCATCCACCTTAATTTTTGATTTTAATTTAAATTTATTAATATTTAAAATTGTTTTTCATAGGATTAATGCTACCTTTTCAATACAATCATTCTCTTCAAGATCTGTTAAATCGTTTTCTTCTATTAAATTACTATCCATGTGCATAATATTTTTTTTTAATTTTTCGTTTGAATTTTAATGGTCTTTGGGAAATTTTTTAATATTTTATTTTCAAGATTATGATGAGTCACATAACTTGATTCCGGTAAAGATTGTTGTTTTAATTTATACTTCAAGTTACTATTGTAAATATCACAAAGCGATGATAATAACAAGCATCATTTTTTTATAACCTCTACATCAATTAAAAACATAATATTGTCGAAAATTTTTTTGTGGATATCTCTGTTTGCATACCAAGTAGTACGTGGATTTCTTTAATTGCTTTATTGTAGTTATTTGTGTATGCTAATTCACATAAATGATGGTAAAATACACTCCCACCTGCAGATTTTATAGCATTGATTTTTTTTAACAGTTTATCATGATCTAATATTGTCATCCATTCAATAATTTTTTCATATAGTTTTTCATCTTTTGAAGAATGTAAAGTTTGCCGTTTTCTTTTAACTTGCTTTCGATCTTTTTCCCAAAAAAAGCATACATTTTTAAGGTTATCACTTCTTTCTGTGGCACTTTCTTTTTCCAACTCTGGAATTTTATAAAAGGAGTCAATTGCTAAATCAGTTGAAAACGTATTTAGATTGCTATTATCAACGATTGGAGTAATAATTTCTTGAATAGTACAACAAACATTAATTGGAGAATTTTAAAATCTTGGACAAGATGTACTCAGAGAATTAATCTGCAGTATAGGATTTGGAGACTTACCTGGAACCAGCATCTAGAAAGAACCACAAGGAGAGCGGAAACCTCATTAATGATGGCAAAACGATCCTTTGGAAAAAAAATGGGGGTTAAAACCAGACATGGTATACTGGCTTTATAACATGACGGTGAGACTGATAATAACATACGCAGCTTTGGTGTGGTGGCTAAAGACACAGCAAAGGAAAGCAATAACGAGGCTAAGCAAGGTACAAAGACTTGCCTGCCTCGGAATAACGGGGGCAATGAAAACAACCCCCACTGCTGCAATGGAAGCACTAATAGGACACCCACCTCTTCTTTATGTGATACAAGGGGAGGCAAGATTAGGTGCTTACAGATTAGGGAATACACTGGGAAATCTTGACATTAGGTCAGGTCACATGAGTATCACAAGGTTAGTGACAGGAGACGTGCTAGACATGAGATCAGACCACATAACCAAGAGGTACTCTTTTAATACTCCCTTTGAGGTTTTAATACAGGAAAGAGCGGAGATCACCATAAGGGAGCCCAATGCCCAACGACAGGAACAAACCTGGTATACAGACGGGTCTAAGACTGCGGAAGCCACTGGGGCAGGAGTATTCTCCAAAAACCCTGACACTAACCATAGCTATGCTATAGGAATACATTCCTCGGTATTTCAGGCCGAGGTATACGCAATTTTGCAATGTGCAAAAACGAACAAAGAAAGAGCTGTCGAAAATCAGCTTATTCAAATAATGTCAGACAGCCAAGCGGCACTTAAGGCCATATCGAGTCAGAAAGTTACGTCGAGGCTGGTATGGGAATGCATCGAAGAACTAAGAACACTGGCAGACCGAAATTTTGGGTGCCAGGTCACAAAGGGATCGAAGGCAACGAAAAGGCTGACAAACTTGCAAAAAGAGGGTCAAAAGAAATACCGGAACCAGACACAAACCCAGGATTACCAAAAAGTACAGTCCGGGGTTTTATAAATGACCCGATTCGGGAACAACATATCAACTATTGAGGAAGCACCCCAAAACAGGCACATGGAAAAGCCTTCATAGGCAGACCATGTCCCAAAAGAACTGGAGAACTACTCTTAATGAATAGGAACCAGTTGAAAGTGATAACAGGGTTCATGACTCGGCACGCCCCAGTAAAGGGACACTTGAACAAAATTAGCATGTACAATGGGGAACTCATGTGCCGACTATGTCACAAGAAATCAGAAATGGCCAAACACATACTGTGCGAATGCGAAGCTCTAGATCACAAAAGACAGGCTCTTTTTGGACAACCCCAGGTTAATCCAACAACGTATAAAACCCACTCACCCAAGGACCTGTACAAACTTGTACAAGGTACAAAGGTGATAGAGTGGGTGCTATGAACTAACATGGGATAAAACACAATGAGCCAATAGGCTTCAGTGTTATTCGGAGACACATAGTCAGACGAGCCCAGGAAAAAAAATAGGATTTGGATTACGATATTTAGACATCAAGGATCTAAAACTGCTATAACACTGTCTATGGTATCCATCAGTATCATTAACACTCTCTGGGAGCCTAACGTTTTTATATTTTAAATTAAACTTCATACGTGAATATAAAATTTCCACACACTTATTTAGTTTTTCATTAGTAAATATGAATATTTTTCCAGTTTTCTTTTCACAAAAAACACATTTTTCTTTTCCGTTACTCATCACGACGAAATTTAGCTTTACCCTTTGATGAACACAACTAATAACACACAAACATTGAGATACATGGACGACGCCATCATAAAAAGTGACCGACAGCACACTTCTACACCGCCTACTATCTCCGAGACTCATTGGTCCGGCTTCTTATTATACAACTGAATTTATGTATGGCAAATTAATTTAAAGTTGTTTGATAGCATAACTTTATTATATTAAAATTACAGCTATACTAAAATGATTTGAAAAAATATTTTTTTTTAATTACTAAAATAGCATCTGGCACGGAGTTAGCAACTACAAAACTGTATGGCACTTTATAATTATATTGCTAAAAGGATATAGAAAATTATGAAGAAAAAAGAAATCGACCTAAAATGATTTGAAAATACGTAATTTGTACCTGTACAAATAGGATGCGCAGAAGAAAACGCAACCACTTACAGTAGCCAGATGTACCGTATCCCCACCAAGCTTCAATAAGAAAAGAAATATCAAAAGATCAGCCGACCTAAAATACTTTTTTCATGACGTTGCCAGCTCTTATACTACAACGGGACTTGGCTTGAGGGCATTTTTTTGTTTTAGAAGTCAGTAAGAGGAAGGAGTGTATGAGTTTGGTTGAAGGACCTTTTCTAGAAGCCAGAGCAAGGATGATTAAATTTTTTGTGGGGGCTCCGCGAAGAAACGGGAGGGACCTGACAAGAGGCTAGAGCAAGAAGGATTTTGCTCGGAGGAGTTTTTTTGTAGAAATGTGTTAAGGGCTGCGTCAAATATTTCGCTTTTCAAAAAGGTTCCATTACCAAAAAAGTTTAAGAACCACTGAGTTAGACATTTGCCACTATAGAATCATTTGGGTCGTATGGAAAGATGGTAAGATCATCCGACTTATTTTCTAACTAACCTAAGGAGAGGGGTTTTAAAATAAAATTAATGAAATTTAGTCAGTGGTTAATCTCCTAAAAAATTATATTTTTATTAGAAAACAGAAAAGACAAATTTTTAAATTAAATCAGCTGTGATGGTTTATACCCGTTACAGGCTAATAACAGGAGACAGGGGCGGTTTCTCCAGTGGTTCATTTGTGCAGTGAACACCCAGTTAAATTTCATAAAAACACATTATTTTAAAATTACGTAAATAACATAAAAATATAAAATTAATTTTATTTCATACATGTTAATCTATTTTTTGGTACATCATTGTCCTTTGGCTGATCGCGTCTCTGTGACACAGTATACCTAAGTATAGTGTGTCTGTGGCGCATTATGATGAGTGAGCCTAACACGAGTAAGACGATTTAGCGAATGTATATAGCTAAAAAGAGAAGTTAACATGCCAATAGATCCTTCAAACTGCAAAAGAACACATTAATAGGCGCGCCGCTTACAAACAAGATTTCCAAACCAGTTTTGCCAGTCTAGTACAAATCACAACTGTACTAGATGTAGTACATTCTGCGTGCATCAGTGTTCACATGTAAAATATATTCATTGTATTCCTTGTTTGGGTTCGTTATCAATAAAAACTCCTTTTTTCCCCTTCGTTGAATTAGATATCACTGCAAATAAAATTCGAAAAATCTGATACATTTAAGGAATCTGATACATTTTTTAGACAAATCTGGAACATAACAAAAACATATTCTGGCAACACTGTACCAAATCAAACAAACTGTCATTCTGATTTCCATCATTCCTCTACTATGAAACGCTTTTAATAAAACTAAAATTATTTTATTTTATGCTCATTTAAAAAAATGTGTTTAATTAAGAAATGTTACATTAATAAATTGAAATCTTTTATTTTAATGACATTTTTTTTATTGCCTTGTTTGTATAATTTAGTATTTTCAAAAATATTAAACGTATTGGTAATTTGAATCACTGCAGGTATTAAATAAAAATAAGTCTGTTGGTAAATTAGTTTATAGTTGGTAATATAGTATGTCTCGAAAAGAGCAGTGAGTATCAAACATAAATTTTGATTTTGATTAGGCACTTAACAAGTCACATCCCACATATCTACATACTCTGGGTAATCAATTCTATAAGTACATATCAAAACATTAATATACTATCTACAATTAAACAATAATTTGAAAATACAGATGAAGCCGATTTACCTATTTAGACAAAATTACTATTCTGTTATTTATTAAAACACGTTATTTTTTAGTAAACATGTACATGTAAAAGTCTGCCATGAAGGTAGGACAGTATAGCGAGATCAAGAATACTTTGGAATATGCTGTGAGATACACTTGGAAAGGGTCATATGGAGAATTAAGTGTGATAACATTTTACTATGTGTTCTTACTATTTTAGTTCATAGATTTCTGTAAATGTTCAATTATGTGCCGCTATTTCAAACTTTTAGTATCCTTTGGTAAAATAAGTTGAATATTATTGTTGACCTTTTTAAACTGTTTATTTTACTTTGTACATTTTTTTTTTACTCTTCATACAGTATTCTGTGAAGAGTATTATAGGTTTCCTTCGTCTGTCCGATGTCACGTTTTTTGTCTGCACGATAAGTTAAAAACGAGAAATGATATCAACTTGAAAATGTTAAGCAAAAATCAAGCTCGATAATGGGA